AGTTACCAACAAACGACCTCAGTCCTGCAGCAATCATTCATCATCTTCATACTGTATAATTATTTAAATATTCGGGTCACGCAGCACAACCTCTGTAGAAGGAAGGGAGAATGTCCTGCAATTATCATACGTACATGTACATGTACATACAGCAACAGACTAATTAAACACTATTGACTATTGTATCGTGAATGGTACGTGTACTTTACATGTACAATATGTACATGTATGCCGTCCAGGCCATGTGGTCCCATGTTGTCAGGACATCGGGCTGCTGACTACAACGAGTCGACGGTATCTGCTACAAAACACATTTCAACGGATACCTGGTGCATGGTGTGACCCTTTTCTAATAGCACACCTTTTTTTTAAATTAAACAATCCACGGGGAATGAGCACCTGCAAGGAGGATGTTTGCTGACTGTATTGTAGCTGGGTAATGCTAACAACATCAGAAACTGCATTATACGCTATCCATGTACACAGCCATGTACATGTAGTGGGGAAGGGTTTTGGCAGGTAATAGGAAGCATACTGTCGAGTCTGTCGTGCAACACTAACACTATGTACATGGGAGGGATATGTGCAATTCATTTTACCCGTACAAACTTCATTGGACGGGTACAACCCCGCTTTCACTACAGCCAGCATGTGAGCATCAGTCCATCGGCCACACATACATGTACATGTAGATCTACACTGTACGACCGTGATGTGTGCGATGATACATGTCCAATGCACATTTTGTCCATGCATGCTCTTCCGGTGTTTGTCGGGAATTTGTCGCTGTGTCTTGCATGGGGTTCAATACATCCTGACGTTTGGACTTCACTCCGTCGTACAGTTTATAATCAACGTCCAACCCGCAACACACAACCTGTCCTTGGCTACACCTCGATTGTATCTGAATTTCAGTAGTAACCCAGGGAGGCATCATCAGAGACAATACAATGTACAAATACATGAGAAGATATACAAAGATGACACAGGACATAATTCTCACCCCAGGTAGGCAACAAATCACAAGCTACCACTAAGACATTACGATGACACAGGGAGAAATGAGCAGTGTGACTAGCAAGTAAGTTCCTACTACATTGTACATGTACATTTTAATTTGTATGTTGAGAGATAATATGTGGAGCTATGAAGCCGAGACCTCTGGTTGGCGGAGCTTAATGGGCCCCACCACCACACTCCATCATTCACCCCAGTGTCTGGAGATATGTGGATTTTGTAGAAAAAAAAAAGAAAAAAAATACTAATACTCAGTAGCCAAGGACTGTTTGTGTGTTGCGGTTGGACGCGAATTGTAAAACATTGGCAATCCAAGGCGGCAGTTTTTCGCAAAAAAATACTTTTTCAATAATGATCAGAGTTTCTTAGCTCCGCTGAGGAAGCCTGGCACTGACAAGGTCGAAACAGCTGCAATGTACTGTAGCTGTATCCGGAGACTGAGTATTATAAGCTTCTACAATAGTTACTGTATTGTGACACTGAAATGGACAACCTCACCAATGACGTTCATGTCATGATATGATAATACATGTAATTACGACCTTTAGACAATATTCTGTACACAATCATGTCAAGACTTTCCTGTGGACTGCTGTTACCTCTCTCATATCACCACCGGATCTCATCCATATCAACAGGCACCTTATTTGGAGAGACTAACGCAGCATACAATTAATAATGTACATGTACATGTACCTACATGTACATGACTCTTTATCACAATATCAGTTCCTGATAGCTTGATGCTGAGTGGGTCATCTGAGATAATATCTCAGATGACCCATTATGTGGGTGAGCATAATAGTACAGGGGCCAATTCAAAAAATCGACCTCTAAAATACATGCCTTGACACATGTTGGCTAACAAGGATTTTTCGGTGTTATTTGATAGATAATGTCTTCAAGAGCATCTTCGCAAAGTATGGTGTGTCCAATCGCGTCCAAAGGTCCCGAAATCACCCTCGATAGGAATACAAAATTGCCGAAAAAACTAAGTTCTCATCGGTTATATTCAAGCATTTTCAAGACTTTCTCGGTACTATATTGACTGGACCTGGGAGTTTTACCCTTTTATGTGCCAGGAGCTATAGTAACACCGTACATACACAGGATGCGAACCGACGCGTACATGTATACACTGATTTTGTGCGAGAGTTGGAAAGATTGGGCATCAACTTGATCAAGTAGTGTAGTTGTGACATACCAGAAATGTTACCTCGTTTGGACACTTTCTTCAAAGTTTTGCATTGACTCGCTGGCGCTTTTGCTGTCGGAACGTCCACGAATGGATCGATGCTAAATTCAGCAGAACCTTCATTACAATGTCATCTTGGCTCCCCGGAAAAGTAGGCATGATTCCAACAAGGAGCAGCACAACAATTATGTGTGGAAAGCAGAGGAAAGGTCATCATGGCTTGCCAAGCCAGTTGTAACTATTCATAGGACTAATCTACAACCGTGGAAAGTTTCAGACCTGGCTAACTTCATCGGGCTGGAATGAAGGCATTTACTTTGTGAGTACTGCTGCACAGGAGGTGTTACAGTGGACGAGCATTTGATTCGAATCTGCAAGAGCGGCTAGTGTTAGTACCATGATTTGAACTCAACGACCGCGGTGATCAGCTACCATTTGCACAAAGCCTATTTACCAGCTCAACAGCTCCAGGACAACTGCCTTAGGAGTGGCATGCTGCAGTGAGAGGGCGTAGCTAAGTGGTGTGGAGTGTTACAAAAACGAAATCCGAGTACCGGGGGGCTTTCGACAAAGTCTCCCACACAGGTGTACTGCACAAGTTGCGGAACATCGGTGTGAAGGGCCCCCTCCTGGACTGGCTTAGAGATTACTTAACAGGTCGTTCGCTGGAAGTGGTCATCGGCGGCAAGAGCTCCGATCGCTATCCGATCTCTGCAGGAGTACCACAAGGCAGCATCCTTGGACCGTCCTTGTTCCTAGTATATGTAAATGATGCTGATAGCTGTCTGGCTCCAGGGTCTGAAATGGGAACATTTGCAGACGACACCACGCTGTATGCCTGCGTCAATACACGCGATGATGCCATACACCAAGCTGACAGTCTTCAAGCTTCCGTTAATGCGTTACATGCATGGGGAACAAAGTGGCATGTTAAGTTTGAACCATCCAAGTCGCAGCTCCTACGAATCTCCTGCCATCGACAGCAGCCTTGGCCTGTCCCCGCAATAAACTTTGGAGGGGAGGTCATCCCACAACAGCCACACCTCAAGCTCCTCGGAGTTATGGTTGACTCCAAGCTATCCTTTTCCGCCCATCTCCGGTCAGTTGCTGCCAGGGCAAACTCACGTCTTGGCCTCCTACGTAGAGCTGCTCGTGTTCTGGACTGCCGTGGCATGCTGGCCGTGTATCACGGCTTCGTCCGGCCCCTGCTCGAGTATGCTCCCCTTGTCTGGATGGGAGCTGCTCCCACTAACCTTGAACACCTTAACAGAGTGCAGAGGCGTGCCCTCCACATCCTGGGACCCAACATCTTGCTACAGAGCCTAGAGGCCCGACGGACAGTGGCGGCACTGACTTTCGTCTACAAGCTGCTGGGCCAACCAGGTCCTCCTCTGCTGAGATCCATGGTCCCCCCTCTCGTCGTCCACCATGCCGCACCTGTAACCCGGAGACAATGCCAACAGTCTGCTTCACACCCCTTCCAACTGGAAAATGTTCTCCCTCCAGGCGCTCCTAACTACCTAAGACGCGCCTTTCCATACAACATCATCAACACCTGGAATGCGCTGCCATCCTCCCTCTTCACCAAACCACCATCTCCTAAGGGCCTACAATCCTTCAAAGCGAACGTCCACTACCATCTTCGCCGAAGCCAGTGGCTTTGGGCCACAGACTCCCTCTAACAGTTCAGAACTATTTCCATCCTGAAGCTCCCCCCCCCCCCAAGCACTGCATGATGTTCACTGCATCTGAACTGCCTTTGAATCTATTTTTCTCTCTTCCTGTTCTCTCTCCACCCCCCCCCTCTCTCTCTCTCACTCACTCTCTCTCTCTCTCTCTCTCTCTCTCTCTCTCTCTCTCTCTCTCTTTCTCCACCCCCCCTCTCTCTCTCTCTCTCTCTTTCTTTCTCCTCATCCATTCTACCTCACCTTCTCTTGTCTTTATCGCACTAAATCACCCCCCTCTTTTAGGCTATGGTGCGCAAGCTCACGTTAACGCCGAGACCATAGGTCGGTGTTGTGGGCTTGCCTCACCAGCACAGGCTTGCTTTGCAGCCCCTACTCTCCCTGCTGTTTTGTCATTGTATACTCTGTTGTCTTCTCCCCTTCTGACGA